AAAATTAGGAATCCCCTTCCCCTTTTCCCCCTTTTTTCCTCTAAAATTGTTCAGGTTCTAAGGTGTGGAATCACTGGTTCATGTCATAGGTAAACTAACTTTTGTTCCAAAGTTCCCTTCTGCAAAGTTTTCACTTTGCATTGTAAGAAATCTCTGCAAGTAGCCCTTTGATTTAATCTGTCTCTTGAAACTCATCCAGTGCTGAGGAATAATAGATGGTTTATCATCTTGAGGCCTTGCACAGTTACTACAAAGCTAAACATATAAATGTGTCACATTTTGCAGATGTGACTTGATGGTCACTTGGATACATTTTGTCTTGTTATTGCTGAAATATGAGGCTATTGTATTTTAAATCTATGTAAATAGGATCTATAAATAAACCCGGGTTCTAAGGATAAGGGTAAAATAATTTGCTCTAAACTATTGAACACCAAGTGATTATAAATTTTATGTTTTCATCTGACATAAGTTCATAAAGCTATGTTATCTATAAGACACTAACAAAAGTACCATTACCAGTGGTGAATCCATACAGGTCTGCAGCAAACTTGATCCTTGCTTCCTCGGAGGAAAGAATTCAGCCGGGGGACAGAAGTGGGTTTAAAGCAGAGAAAGAGACCAAGGCAAGTTTTAGAGCAGGAGTGAGAGTTTATTAAAAAATTTTAGAGCAGGAGTGAAAGGAAGTGTTTACACTTGGAAGAGGGCCACGTGGGCAACTTGAGAGATTCAAGTGCCCCATTCAGTCCTTGACTTGGGGTTTTACAAGTTGGCCTGGTTCTAGGGATTTTCCTGCTCTCTTGATTCTTCCCTTGTGGTTGGCTGTTGCTCAACTGCTGCATGTGCAGTGTTGGTCATTTGGGAGGGTGACCACGTGCATAGTGTGTTTACTGAGGTTGTGCTCGTGCTCCGTAGGGACAATTTTCCTTTAGGAGTCAAATCACCCCATAGGAAGGTTGTATATCCATTTTGCCTCTTAGAGAGCATGCCCGAGTCCATGTGCTCAACTCCTGAGATCTTACTGGGAAGCGGCTGATCACCAGCTCCAGGTGTTTTCTATCTACTGGGAGACCGTTTTCCCCTGGTGTTGGCTGTGGCCAATTATCATTTCAGAAAAACAGTATAATAAACACCTGCCCCGGTGTGTGATGTTCCCCTTCCCGAGTCCAAGTGATCTCATTGTTCAGTTCCCACCTATGAATGAGAACATGCAGTGTTTGGTTTTCTGTTCTTGTGATAGTTTGCTAAGAATGATGGTTTCCAGCTGCATCCATGTCCCTACAAAGGACACAAACTCATCCTTTTTTATGGCTGCATAGTATTCCATGGTGTATATGTGCCACATTTTCTTAATCCAGTCTGTCACTGATGGACATTTGGGTTGATTCCAAGTCTTTGCTATTGTGAATAGTGCCGCAATAAATATACGTGTGCATGTGTCTTTATAGCAGCATGATTTATAATCCTTTGGGTATATACCCAGTAATGGGGAGGGGGTAGGGGGGAGGGATTGCATTGGGAGTTATACCTGATGTAAGTGATGAGTTGATGGGTGCTGACGAGTTGATGGGTGCAGCACACCAACATGGCACAAGTATACATATGTAACAAACCTGCACGTTATGCACATGTACCCTAGAACTTAAAGTATAATAATAATAAATAAATAAATAAATAAGAAAAAAATAAATACAAAATAAAATTAAAAAAATAAATAAATAAATAAACACCTGACCATCACCTGATGGTTACCGGAAATTCCTGGGTGAGGCAAGGGTTCTCCTGCCCTGCTCATGTCTGCCTACCTACCTACTCTAACAGTACACTGATGTTCTTTACTAATAATTTGATTTCTAGGAAAAAATTAAGATCCCAATTGAACTATTTCTCAATCAGGGAGAATGCTGGTCTGACTTTGGCCTTAGACCTGTCATTGGCTAGCTGTGGACTCTTGGTCAAATCACATGATCTTTCTGAGTTCCAGTTTCACCATTTTTAAATTGAAGTGTTTAGACCATTTCCAACTTCCAAAATTTCAGTTCTAAAATTTTTTGTCTTTGATCTCTGACCTAACGATATATTTCTCTAAATCAGCAGCAGATGGCAGTGTGAAAGTAGAGAACTTTAAAACCTGTTTCCATTTGCTGTTTTCACCTGTAAGAGAATTTCTGTTCAATGTTTCCTAATGCTTAAATGTTTTTCAAAAAAATCATTTGTTAGGCAAGAAAAGTGACTTCAGAATTTATCACATAGTTTATAACAATGCTGTATATTTCATACAACAGTGGCTTTGGTTGTACGTGCTATGAAAATTATGACTCCTCCATCTTGCCCCCACACTCCCAGCCTCTGAGGCTTCCTTGTAGAATTAACGTGCATTAAGGAGCATAGAGTTAAAGTCCTGTTTTGAGGATGAAACTTGAAACTTTTCGAGTATTCCAGGAATAGTCTCTGTGGGTTTCAATTCCATTCTGTTGTAAAATTTGCGAACACTGAAACTCAATGTCAATGTAGTTTGCTAACAACAGAGAAGTGTCATGCCTTATGCTCTCAGACATCCATTTGTAAAATTAGACCCTTAAAACGTTTCTATTTTTGAATTATCTAAGTATTTCTCATTGGGTGTACAGACAGCCCAACTATTGGATGATAAGTTTGGTCTTTCAAATGGATTTTCCTTTTAAAGTACTGGCACAGAATATTTCCCTCTGTTTGTCATGTAAATGTGTCAGTCTCCTCTTCTGCACTCACTTACACAAGAGGGCCTGAAAATGGAAGGATCCAATTTATGGCCAGGAAGGAATGTGGGAGAGCCTTAAGCACCAGAAGCTGTGATCTCAGTATATCTCAGGGGCCATAAACTGGTCTTAAGTATGTGTTTAAGAAATTCTCTGGAACTGGGAAGAATGTAAGAACGTAGTATAGTACATGGGTTATTGGAACCTGCTTCCGTCATTTACAAATAGTGAGACTGTGATGGATTCCATTGCTTCTCTGAGATTGCTTCAAAAAGGGGTAAAAGACACATACATACAGAAAAGTGTATGTATCATGACAGTATTGCTTGATGAATGTTCATGAACTGAACACACTCATGTAATCATGACATTCATGCCGAGAACCAGAGCATGAGCAGTACCCTGCAAGTCTGGCTTTGCTCTCTTCTGATTATGACTCCCCAGCCCCTAAGAAAGATAGGCAGTATCCTGACTTCTAACACAGATTAGTTTTGCTTGTTTCTGTAGTTTTTATAATTGAAATTATATGGGTTGTACTTACGTTGGGTGTCTTTCATTTACATTGTGTTTGTGTGATACACCCTTAACATGTGTAGTTGTAGATCATTTTCACTGCCATATAATTATGTATATAACTTTAGGTGTTTATGTGGGTGTTTCTGTTGGGTGTATACATAGAATTGAAACTTCTGGGTTTTACAACGTGCTGTGTTCAGCTTTAATAAACACTGCCAGCAGTGTGTGAGAATCCTGTTCCTACCACTTTCTTGCTAACAGTATTGTCTCTCTTTAGCCATTCTGGTAGGTGTGGTTTTTGAAAATTGGAGATCATAGCTTGAAAGGTTGTCACCTCAATTCAGATATACTTCTCTTTGCTTCCAAATCCTTGGTCTTTCTTCTACCATAGACTTGAACAGCTTCTTTGAGCTTCAGTTTCCTTCTATGTTAAATGAGACTGTTGGGCTAAATAACCCTTAACATCCTTTTATTTCTAGTATATTAAGTTCTATACTTCTGAGGACAGTCCTAGTAGGGAAGAATTTCACTATCACTTAAATTCTTTTACATGAGCAGTTGCCCACTTATGGTAGAACAATTCCAGGTGATGGTCACTTTTGCCTGTCAGTCAACAGGGCATAGTAACACTATCAGATGGGTACTATTATAATTCCCATTTTCAGATGAGGAAACTAAGGCACAGAAGGATCAAATAAGTTGCCCAAGACCAAACAGCTACCAAGTAGTAGGGCTAGAATTTGAATAAAATCTGACTCCAGAACCTCCATTTTACCTGTGTGATCTTTTTTATTTTTTATTTTTAATTCCTTTTCCTTTTTTTTGAGATGGAGTTTCGTTCTTGTTGCCCAGGCTGCAGTGCAGTGGCATGATCTCAGCTCACTGCAATCTCCACCTCCCGGGTTCAAGTGATTCTCCGCCTCAGCCTCCCGAGTAGCTGGGACTACAGGTGCATGCCACCACACCCCTCCGCCTCAGCCTCCGAGTAGCTGGGACTACAGGTGCATGCCACCACACCCGGCTAATTTTTGTATTTTTTTTTTTTTTTTTTTTTTTTTTTTTTTTTTTTTGAGACGGAGTCTCACTCTGTCGCGCCCAGGCTGGAGTGCAGTGGCCGGATCTCGGCTCATCGCAAGCTCCGCCTCCCGGGTTCATGGCATTCTCCTGCCTCAGCCTCCCGAGTAGCTGGGACTACAGGCGCCCGCCACCTCGCCTGGCTAGTTTTTTTTTTTGTATTTTTTTAGTAGAGACGGGGTTTCACCAGGTTAGCCAGGATGGTCTCGATCTCCTGACCTCGTGATCTGCCCGTCTCGGCCTCCCAAAGTGCTGGGATTACAGGCTTGAGCCACTGCGCCCGGCCAATTTTTGTATTTTTAGTAGAGATGGAGTTTCACCATGTTGGTCAGGCTGGTCTTGAACTCCTGACCTCAGGTGATCCTCACACCTCGGCCTCCCAAAGTGCTGGGATTACAGGCATGAGCCACCGTGCCCGGTCCAACCTGTGTGATCTTATCCTTTAATTTCGTTATCAAAAAGAATGAGACTAACAATAGTATTCACCTCCCAGGGCTGCAGTAAGATTAAAATGAGATGAGATTGTTCACGTGAGCTGCCTCATATAGTGTCTGCATAGCATAAATACTCAGTGCATGTTTATTTTTGTTGTTTTATGATGGAAAGAATCATTTTGAACTTATGACAGATGGATCATATGATGATAAGTGAAGGTTTCACTTCTTTTTTTAGGTCCTGTCTGCAGTCTGTGTGTCTCATCTTTTGGAGCAAGACCCGTCACAATCTTCAGTGGCTTCATGGTGGCTGGAGGCCTGATGTTGAGCAGTTTTGCTCCGAATATCTACTTTCTGTTTTTTTCCTATGGCATTGTTGTAGGTAAGGAACCTCGTCCCTATGACTTTCCTAACCTTCAAGAGATACACATCGATTCACCAGTGCCAGGTTTATGATCCAGTTAATGTAAAGGAGTGAAAATGCTCACTAATAATTTACTTTCAATAACCACTTCTCCAAAAATTGTTGGTTTAGTAAAAAAAAACCTGCCCAGTGAATCAAAATGTTTGAGAGAACAAGCAATCCATACTCTATCTCCTTGCAAGGCACAGGGAAGTTTTTCATCTCAGCCCTTGTCTCTCTATAGCACATACAGGAAAAGTGAGAGGGGAACACAAAACTTGGATATTATGGACATCTGTCACTTCTCACTAAATTATGAAGTGGCCCTTTTCCTATTGGGCAGTCAAGCATGATTCTTTGGAGCTGTTTGTGTTCACAAACAGCTGTTTGCATTCCATAGCATCTGTTGCTGTGGGCCCAAGTGAAAAGGCACAGCACAAGTAAAAAGTAGATTTGAAAGCATGTATTAGTATTATTATTTTTTTTAGAGATAAGACATGAGGGAAGAAAGCTGAGTGGTGGGATGATACTGGTTACAGGGGAGGAAAGTATAGGAGGCTCAGGACCTTAGAGTACAGAAAATTTGGGAAGATATCCTTGTCATGTCATTATACTAATTCCGTTCAGTGTTAAAAATCACCAGACTTGGTATTTCTAGAAGCTGTTGGTAGAGACTTAGAAAAAGATGGCCTCCAGCTTTCAAGTTTCTTCTTAATGCCACAAAGGAGCTAATTTTGTTGACTACCGATATTCGTCTTTTCTGCCTGGAAATATTTCCCCAATAATAAATAATAGAAAATGTAGCAACTAATATTCTCTGAGTACTTATCGTATGCTAGGGACTGTGCTAAATGCTTTATGTGATCTCATTTCCTCTTCACAAGAACCCATTTTGCAGAGAAGGGAAGTGAAGCTCAGAGAAGTAAAAATATTACTAACTAAATTAACAAAGCTGGAAGACTTGGTCTGATACTTAGAGACTCTCAGTCTGACACTCAGTAGTCTGTCCATTTATATGGGATTTGGCTTACACTTTTGACTGCTGCTGCTGATGGTGGAGTTACAGGGCTTTCACTTGACTTTCCTCACTATGATGGCGTTGTAGGGAATGATAACTCTTATTGCTTTGGCCAAGGGACCACAGAACAATGTAGGGAGTTCCACCAGCTGTTGCATATTTGTGCTATAATTAAATATCAGGGACTGGGGAAAGGACCATTGGCTGAGCAGTTGGGTCATAATCCCATATATTACCTGCCCCATGTAAGCCCACTTTAAGGGGAAGCCATGCAGACTCTTCATGTCTCTGACAACAATGTTCAAAATGTATTTCACTTTCCTCAGTGTACAGTTACTTAAATAGATGGCCATAGTTCTCTTTGGGGAAAGACTCAGGTAATCATTCCATATGTACAAACTTGTCATCATGTTTGTGGCAATGTCCTTCCTCCTAGAGTCCTGGCCTTTCCTTCAGTTAGTGGATTCTGGGTCGGAAAACAGGCTCAAGTCTGAGGATGTATAGAACTCTGATTTGGCAGTAGGTTCTGATTCTCAGTGACTAAGAGGAAACTGTCAGCTCATGGAGGGAGCACTGGACTTCAGGTCGGCAGACACAGGTTCTGTGAGTTTGAGCAAGCTCCTTCACCTCCGTGAATGGCTGTACCCTCCCGCATCTGTGAAAGCAGGCTAAGAAACCTACCTCAGATGGGTCTTGTGAGGACTAAATGATGACAAGCAAGATAACAATAAAGAGTTGAGTTAGACTTCAATTAATAAAAATATCTCTCACCACAGCACCACGGTAATTATTGGGGACCTGTGAGTTACTGCTTGTTGGCAAATTATTAATATTGACCACCATCGTTGATTTCTTCACAGTTTTATTTCATCAGTAGGCTCATAGTATAGGGCTCATGGAATGTTTGTGGGATAAATAAATGAGATAATAATGAACACTGGCACCTTCATTCTGTTACCATTTGAAGTAGAGTATCAAATTGAAAAGAAAGTGACAGGAAATTATTACACAGTCTAACATCTTATTCCTGTATCATGAGCTCTTTAGAAAAATAAGAAGGGTTCAGTCTCATGGTAACATTTATAAGATGCAATTCTGTGCAGAATCATATCCTAAAGACTTTCATTTGTCTTTAATGAGCTAGATGGCCTCTTAAGCTAGACAGTGTGATCAAGGGAAAGATCAGACACTGACTAGCAGGCAGGCTCTGGGGTTGGACCATGTGGGTTAACCTTCTTTTATCCACTTGCCAGCTGTGTGACTGTAAACATGTTTTGTAACTACTGTTTTCTCATTTTTAAACTGAGCATAATAATAGCACCCATCTTATAAGAGTTTGTGAAGATGAGTGACATAATGCAATGAATGTTAGCTAGCATAAACCATTATCATTTGTTTTATGACCCTGAAAAATTATTCAGCCTCTCTGAGCTTCCATTTTTGTTTTTTATAAAATGGCACTGATATGAGTTCATGGAGGTATTGTGACTATTCATGAGATAATGTTTATAAAGAGGCAAACAGATGTTTAATACATATTTGTTCCTTTCTCCTTAAATTCCTTTCTGACCCATACAGCAGTAGTTTTTGGCTACTAAGCTCTATTGAATCAGAAATATTTGTGTAAGAGATTTAAAAATATAGAAAAAGAAATTAAAGTTATTTTGGATATTACAACCTAAAATGTCAAAAGAATACTAAAGTGTATTAAATGATATAATTCTGTTTTACCATTTAATTGATTTTTTCAAAACTAACAGTTTGAAAACATGATGCTCTTTTGTTTAGGTTTTTGTAGCTCAAATGAAAACCTGTACCAACTTGTCAGATTGCAGGATTAATTGCAATGAGGAACCTGATACCATATCAGTATAGCTTTTGTACTCTGTTATAGTAAATTCATGTGTTTATTCTGTACTTTGTTTTTGTTGTTGTTGTTTTTTTGAGATGGAGTCTCACTGCAGCTTCCGCCTCAGGGGTTCAAGCGATTCTCCTGCCTCAGCCTCCCGAGGAAGCTGGGATTACAGGAGCATGCCACCACGCCTGACTCATTTTTGTATTTTTAGTAGAGATGGGTTTTGCCATGTTGGCCAGGCTGGTCTTAAGCTCCTGACCTTGGGTGATCCGCAGTCTTGGGCTCCCAAAGTGCTGGGATTACAGGCGTGAGCCACTGTACCCGGCCTCTGTTTATTTTGTACTTTAAATAGATCTTCATTCAAACCTGATTTTGTAGCATCATGCGTTGTCTATTTGAAAAACATTGGTTTGCTGAGTTATGCAAGAACTTAAAAATGTTAACACATTTCATTGTAAAACATCGCTTTGGTTAATATTACCAACAAGTTCATTAGAAATCTTTATGGATTGGCAAGTGATTGTAAGCCACACGGCCAAATCTGGTAATTGAGGCTCCTGTTTTCTCAATAAAATTACTAAACCGGGAAAAAAGCAATACAGTGGGAGATGAAAATTAGGTGGGTAGGAGGTGGCGGTGCAGGAAATGTGCCTGTAATGATTTGCTCAAGCCTCTTTCTAATAATTTCTCTTTGCTTTTCTGAAAAGCACAACTCAAAATCAATTCCTTGTATTCTCTTTTCTTTAGAATATATTCTTATTTAGCTACCTGATTATGGTTTTCTTATTATTCCCTTCCTGATTTTTGGAAGAATTCCATTTTCTTCCCCCCCGCCTCCTGCCACTGCCCTTTTTTGGTAATATCTGCATAGTCCACTGAGAGTGGGGAGGGAAAAGAACATGTTTGTAGACAGTCTGATTCTCTTACTGTAATTCTGCCAAATGAGATAAAGGGCATTTCCTGTATATTCGCTTTAGCAGAAATAGAGATTTACAAGTCCCCCTTTCAAAATTGTTATATAATTGAAGATAATCTTTAAGTGTCATGGATATACAGGTATAATAAGGTACTATGATTTTTTAATGTAGTCTGAGGCAGTATCTACATAATGCCATAATACTCAGGTGAAAATGAAAAAAGTATACCAATATAATGAATATTTTTTAGTACTCATGATAGTGTAGGGGCAGAAATTACATCTTCACATTTTTTTATGTACCTTAATTTTTACAACTATCTTACAAGATTGTTTTACAGATAAAGAAGCTAGGAATTAGAGTTTAAATGACTTTGCCAAAGCCACACAACCAATTGTCTAGTTGGAGGAATAGACTTGAAAATATGTAACTTATAGCACAGCACAATAAGTGCAGTGATGAAGCCAATGTATGTGCGTGTGCAGTGGAGACACGGTGGAGGCTTCATGCTTAATTTATGCTTGAGCTGAGTCTTGAAGAACAGGCAGGAAGTGGTTCAAGTGAATACGGTTGGAAGGGGAGTGGGGATGGTGTGAGGAGGACCTTTCAGTAGCCTAAGTACTCAGAGAAGCAAGATAGAATGGTTAAACAGCAGTCTTTTTATATGCGTTTGTTAAGGAATGCACAGATGGTGTGAGGAGTTGCAAATATGTCAAAGCATGGTGTGTAACAGAGGCCAGATGCTAACAGTTTTATGTGGTCTTTATTGCAGTAGTATGACATGATGAGAACTGTATGACAACAGTTTAGAAGACAGATTGGTGGGAAAGGTACTGAAGGCTGAGACAGCTATTAGGAGGCCTTAGATGAGACCAAAAAAAAAAAAAAAGATGAGGAGATGAACCGAGGCAGTGTTAGTGCAGAGAGAGACTGAGGTTGACAATTTAGGCCGTGGGTGTGATAAAGAGCTTGATGTCTGGTTTGATGAGAGGAGATGAGGGGAAAGAGGCCTCTGAAGTTGTGTCTCCATTGTGTGAAATGGAAGGTAAAGTGTGGAAAAGAAATGTTGCAACATGTAAATATATTAAGTTTTTACCATTTAAAGAAAGGGAAACAACTATGCCTTACTAATACTGATGCCGTGAATTGTCAGTAGTACAAGTATTTAATTTTAAAATTGTTATACTTTTACTGGAGATGGTACACAGAATTTTTTCACTGGCAGGGGTCTGATCCAAACTGGTTGGAGGCCAAGGAATGCTTTAAGGCAGTGGTTTCCAAACTGTTTAATCTTGGGGCCCTTTATATTCTTTTATTTAAGATACCAAGAAACTTTTGATTATGAATATTATACTTAGATTTAGTCTATTAAAATGTACTGTATTAAGAGATAAGACATTTACAAATATTTATTTAGCTATTAATTTCAAGATAACAAATCTAGTACATGTTAACATAAATATCATATTTATTATGAAAAATAACTGTTTTCCAAAGCAAACAAAATTTGGTGAAAAGAGTGCCATTGTCTTACATGTTTGCAAATCTCTTTAATGTCTGGTTTCATAGAAGGCAGCTGTATTCTCCTATCTACTTCTGTACTCAATATGTTACAATATGCTTCTTGATTGAAGTATATATGAAGAAAATCTGGTCTCACACACAAAGATGTAATTAGAAAAGGGAAGAGTGTTGAATAGCCTTTATAGGTAATTATAGATATTCCTCTACTGAAACTTGGTAAGTGATAGTTTCCTAAGGATTAATTGCAATGACAAACCTGATACCGTATCAGTATACTTTTCATACTCTGTTATAGGAAATCCATTTGTTTATTCCATGCTTTGAATAGATATTTATTCAAACCTAATTTTGTAGTTTCATGCATTGGCTATTTGAAAAATATTGATTTGCTGAGTTATGCAAGAACTTAAAAATGTTAACACATTTCATTGTAAAACATCACTTTGGTTAATATTACCAAAAAGCTCATCAGAAATCTTTATGGATTGGGAAGCTGTCAGATGCATGGTGACAGATACACGTTTTCCAAAATTCTGTTTTGTTTTTGTTTTTGTTTTTGTTTTTTCTGGAAAACATGAATTTTATCATTGGTAACAATTACTGCCAGTTGTTTCCCAGTGTTGGTTCATTTCCAAGAAAATATCAGCCAGACACCCAAGGTTAAATAACCGTAGTTTGTCTGTCAGACATTGTTTCAAATAAAATGATGTTCTATTTTAAAAGTGGTTATTTTAGCTAGCTACAAAACAATCGCGTAAGTGCTTATCCTCACAGCAATTATTGTAATTCAGGTGAAGCATTGAAAGCAAATGTGTTTGTTTTGACTGTGAGGGTGTGGTGGTGAAGCCTATAAAGTGTCAGGTTCCTTAGGAATACCTTAGTTTGTGGTAGGCTTTTTGCAGTTTTACTTACCATCTCTTTTGCACCATCAGCATAAATGTGAACATAGCGAAAAGAGCAGAGAACATCTCAGTATTATTATAAAAATAGTTTTGACTTGACTAACTTCGTGAAAGATCTTAGGGACTGTAGGTACACAGACTTCTCTTTAACAGCTGCTGGTTTAAGGTTGTCCTGATGCAGATTAAGAGGGGAAATCATGCCACCTTTTCTTTCGTTTTTTTTTTTTTTTTTTGAGACAGAGTCTCACTCTATTGCCTAGGCTGGAGTGCAATGGCACAATCTTAGCTTGCTGCAACCTCCACCCCCAGGGTTCAAATGATTCTCTTGCCTCAGCCTCCTGAGTAGTTGAGACTACAGGTGTGCGCCATTGGGTGCCTGGCTAATTTTTCGTATTTTTAGTAGAGATGGGGTTTCGCCATGTTGGCCAGGCTTGTCTCAAACTCCTGACCTCAAGTGATCCTCCCACCTCAGCCTCCCAAACTGCAGGGATTACAGGCATGAGCCACTGTGCCTGGCCTCAACTTTTGCTTTCTGACAAATTTAAAGTAAATGCATTTCAGATTTCTGGTACATTAAAAAAAAGTGAAGTAATCTTATCTGAACCCTAAGACATTTAAATCATTTTTAAAAATTCATTTTAGTATAAGATTTAAAGTTTAAAAGTTGCTGTTTCAACTTTTTTGGCATTGACACTTAGTAATCTGAAATGTCTTTTTTTTCATGTCTTCGATGCTTAACCTTTGACACAGCTCTAACAACGAAATCACAGAAAACGTGAATAAATAATGCAAATGTAAATTTGCATTATTTACAATAAAGCCCCCTCCAAAGGCTTTCAGAAATAGTCTTAGTTAAGGGTGACAGTTTTTGGATTCACAAAATTGATTGGTTAGAAACAGTTCTTATTTCATGTTCTGAACTGTCCTCTGTGTAGTAATGACAACTATATAAATTAATCCAACTCATGCCTTAGATTTTGAAAGTATTTTTTCCCCATAAATGACATCAAAGGGCACTCTATTTTTAAAGGGTTATTTAAAGTCTAATTGTTTTAATCTCTCTCATTTCATTAATAAGACTCTATGCAATCATGGATGATCATCTGAGTCATGGGTTAAGTGCTGATTTCCTAAAATGTTTATGTAGTGTATTTGTTAAACTCATGTATTCATTTAAATCATAGTCCAGGTAACTATTTTAAGTAATGAAAATGAGCTTAATAATTCACGTAATAGGCCATAGTTAAAATTCAGTTGTTAGACTGTGGCTCTTGTGTTGTTTTAGAGTGATCCTCAAGAACAGATAATGTTCTGGAAGAAAGGCATAACGTAAATGACTGAGGGCCAAAAGAGAGCTATATGAAAAACAAACTGGGGTTGTCAGATTCTTAAAAGGGAAGAAAATATTAAGCTAACAAACAAGAGCCTTGGAGATTATCTGGAGATAAATATTACCCTTGTGATTCAGGAACAGAAATTTAGTTGTAACTTTTTTTGTTGTTAATTATAAAATAATTTCAAATTTACAGAAAAGCGGAGACTAGTATAGCAAACAACCATAGTTGTTAGTATTTTGTGGTATGTGCTTCTTTTTTTTTGGTGAAAGTATTTTAAAGTAAAGACATTACTATATTTTACTTCTAAATAAGGTAATATGCACCTCTAAAAGATGAAGACTTACAGATATAAATTTCACTGTGGTGAGATGATATAAGAACCCCACAGGGCCTTCATATTGCAGACTGGGTTGTGCAGGCTAAACTCTAACAAAATAGCTTTGAGTGATCAAGTGTATTTTAAAAAGTTGTTTAGAGGACTTAGAAGAAGAAGAACACTGAGCTGGGGGCAAGGACTTGAAAGAGGCATAGATCTCTAAGGGGCAAACTTGATCAAATTTGCTGTTTTGTATGTGAATTTAGCCATTTTCTCTCTCTCTCTCTCCATAATGTCTTAATTTACATTGGCATTATTCATTCATGCTTTAGACATTGGATGCTTTTTTACTTGACCCTGATCTAGGGTGTGGGGTGAAAAATGAGGCTGCCCAATGGTGTCTATCGGGGCTACACACATGGAAGGAATCTAGGAGTCTGTACTTACAACAGTTTTAGCCAGCGAATAATGGAATGTCCTATTGGACATACTTGTTTTTCCTTTTTTCTCTTGCATTGATGTAATGCAGTGTCTTAATTTATGCAATGTCTTCTCATGCTTAGGTCTTGGATGTGGTTTATTATACACTGCAACAGTGACCATTACGTGCCAGTATTTTGACGATCGCCGAGGCCTAGCGCTTGGCCTGATTTCAACAGGTAAATTTTCAAATTGAGTACAGTATTGTCACCATTCAGTCTGCTAAACAAAGTAAAAAGTTACCAAGCACAGACATGTTTAACCAATCATTACCCAGCTACCAATCAGGTAGCAAAATAATTTCTTTACTTCTAGAAGGAAAGTTTATTTTACACTGTAAATATGGCAGTGACTTTCTTTTTTCTTTTTTCTTTTTTTACATTATAAATTTTTATGTCTTATATGGGATGTTTTCTAAAATATATAGCTCTTCTAAAATTGTAAACTGATATTTAGTATAACATTAATAAATTTTTACATGGACACCTATGATTGTCAAAGCACTTTTAGAAACTTAAATTTAAATGACCATAAAACTTGAAAACTAGTCTTTATGATATTTTTTAAAAAGCTATTTTTTCATCCATTGTATTTGCTTCCTGAAAGTCCAGAGTAAACCATCTCATTATTTGTTATTTATTATTATTATATTTTAAGTTCCGGGATACATGTGCAAGAACGTGCAGGTTTGTTACATAAGTATACATGTGCCCTGGTGGTTTGCTGCACCCATCAACCCATGATCTACATTAGGTATTTCTCCTAATGCTATCCCTCCCCTAGCCCCCACCCGCAACAGGCCCAGTGTGTGACGTTCTCCTCCCCATGCCCATATGCTTTCATTGTTCAACTCCCACTTATCAGTGAGAACATGTGGTGTTTGGTTTCCTGTTCTGTGTTAGTTTGCTGAGAATTATGGTTTCTAGCTTCACTCATGTCCCTGTAAAGGACATGAACTCATTCTTTTTTATGGCTGCATAGTATTCTGTGGAGTATATGTGCCACATTTTCTTTCTTTTTTTTTGAGATGGAGTTTCACTTTGTTGCCCAGGCTGGAGTACAATGGCACGATCTTGGCTCACTGCAACCTCTGCCTTCTGGGTTCAAGCAATTCTCCTGTCTCAGCCTCCCGAGTAGCTGGAATTATAGGCATGTGCCACCATGCCTGGCTAATTTTTTGTATTTTTAGTAGAGACGGGGTTTCTTCCTGTTGGTCGGGCTGATCTCGAACTCCCGATTTTAGGTAATCTGCCCTCCTCGGCCTCCCAAAGTGCTGGGATTACAGGTGTGTGCCACCGTGCCCGGCCTATACATGCCACGTTTTCTTTATCCAGTCTAACATTGATGGACATTTGGGTTGGTTCCAAGTCTTTACTTCTGTGAATAGTGCTGCAATAAACATACATGTGCATGTGTCTTTATAGCAGAATGATTTATAATCGTTTGGGTATATACCTAGTCATGGAATTGCTGGGTCAAATGGTATTTCTAGTTCTAGATCCTTGAGGAATTTCCACACTGTCTTCCACAATGATTGAAGTGTAAAAGCATTCCTATTTCTCCACATCCTCTCCAGCACCTGTTCTTTCCTGACTTTTTAATGATTGCCATTCTAACTGGCATGAGATGGTATCTCATTGTGGTTTTGATTTGCATTTCTCTAATGACCAGTGATGATGAGTTTTTTTTTTTCATGTTTGTTGGCTGCATAAATGTCTTCTTTTTTTTCTTTTCTTTCCTTTTTTCTTTTTCTTTCTTTTTTTTTTTTTTTTTTTTTGAGATGGAATTTCGCTCTTTTGTCCAGGCTGGAGTGCAGTGGCACAATCTCGGCTCACTGCAACCTCCACCTTCCAGTTTCAAGTGATTCTCCTGCCTCAGCCTCCCGAGTAGCTGGGATTATAGGTGCCCACCACCACGCCCGGCTAAGTTTTGTATTTTTAATAGAGACAGGGTTTCACCACATTGGCCATGGTGGTCTCAAACTCCTGACCTTGTGATCTGCCTGCCTCAGGCTCCTAAAGTGCTGGGATTATAGGCATGAGCCACTGTGCCTGGCCAGATGTCTTCTGTTGAAAAGTGTCTGTTCATATCCTTCACCACTTTTTGATGGGGTTATTTTTTTTCTTGTAAATTTGTTTATGTTCTTTGTAGATTCTGGATATTAGTCCTTTGTCAGATGGATAGATTGCAAAAATTTTCTCCCATTCTGTAGTTTGCTGGTTCACTCTGATGATAGTTTCTTTTGCTGTACAAAAGCTCTTTACTTTAGATCCCATTTGTCTATTTTGGCTTTTGTTGCCTTTGCTTTTGGTGTTTTAGTGATGAAGTCTTTGCCCATGCCTATGTCCTGAATGGTATTGCCTAGGTTTCCTTCTAGAGTTTTTATGGTTTTAGGTCTAACATTTAAGTCTTTAATTCATCTTGAGTTAATTTTTGTATAAGGTGTAAAGAAGGGGTTCAGTTTCAGTTTTCTGCATATGGCTAGCCTGTTTTCCCAACACCACTTATTAAGTAGGGAATCCTTTCCCCATTTCTTGTTTTTGTCAGGTTTGTCAAAGATCAGATGGTTGTATATGTGTGGTGTTATTTCTGAGGCCCCTGTTCTGTTCCATTGGTCTATATCTCTGTTTTGGTACCAGTACCATGCTGTTTTGGTTACTGTAGCTGTGTAGTGTAGTTTGAAGTCAGGTAGCGTGAAGCCTTGAGCTTTGTTCCTTTTGCTTAGAATTGTCTTGGCTATATGGGCTCTTTTTTGGTTCTATATGAAATTTAAAGTAGTTCTTTCCAATTCTATGAAGAAAGTCAATAGTAGCTTGATGGAAATAGCATTGAATCTATAAATTACCTTGGGCAGTATGGCCATTTTCACGATATTGATTCTTCCTATGCATCAGCATGGAAAGTTTTTTCATTTGTTTGTGTCCTCTCTTATTTCCTTGAGCAGTGGTTTGTAGTTCTCCTTGAAGAGGTCCTTCACATCCCTTGTAAATTACATTTCTAAGTATTTTATTTTTTATGTAGCAATTGTGAGTGGGAGTTCACTCATGATTTGGCTCTCTGTCTATTATTGGTGTATAGGAATGCTTGTGATTTTTGCACATTGATTTTGTATCCTGAGACTTTGTTGAAGTTGCTTATCAGCTTAAGGAGATTTTGGGCTGAGACAATGGGGTTTTCTAAATATACAATCATGTTATCTGCAAACAGAGATAATTTGATTTCCTCTTTTCCTATTTGAATACACTTTATTTCTGTCTCTTGCCTGATTGCCCTGGCCAGAACTTCCAATACTATGATGAATAGAAGTGGTGAGAGAGGGTATCCTTGTCTTGTGCTGGTTTTCAAAGGGAATGCTTCCAGCTTTTGCCCATTCAGTATAATATTGACTGTGGGTTTGTCATATTTTGAGATATGTGCCATCAATACCTAGTTTATTGAGACTTTTTTAGCATGAAGGGGTGTTGAATTTTATCCAAGGCCTTTTCTGCATCTACTGACATAATCATTTGGTTTTTGTCATTGGTTCTGTTTATGTGATGGATTATGTTTATCGATTTGCATATGTTGAACCAGCCTTGCGTCCTAGGGATGAAGCCAACTTGATCGTGGTAGATAAGCTTTTTAATGTGCTGCTGGATTTGGTTTGCCAGTATTTTATTGAGGAAATTTGCATCAATGTTCATCAGGGATATTGGCCTGAAATTTTCTTTTTTTGTTGTGTCTCTGCCAGGTTTTGGTATCAGGAGGATGCTGGCCTCATAAAATGAGTTAGGGAGGAGTCCCTGTTTTTCTATTGTTTGGAATAGTTTTAGAAGAAATGCCAGCTCCTCTTTGTACCTCTGTTAGAATTTGGCTGTGAATCCGCCTGGTCATGGGCATTTTTTTGGTTGGTAGGCTATTAATTACTGCCTCAATTTCAGAGCTTGTTATTGATCTATTCAGGAATTCGACTTCTTCCTGGTTTAGTCTTGGGAGAGTGTATGTGTCCAGGAATTTATCCATTTATTCTAGATTTTCTAGTTTACTTGTGTAAAGCTGTTTATAGTATTCTCTGATGGGATTTGTATTTCTGTGGGATCAGTGGTGATATCCCCTTCATCATTTTTTATTGTGTCTATTTGATTCTATTCTCTTTTCTTATTTATTAGTCTGGTTAGCGGTCTATCTATTTTGTTAATCTTTTCAAAAAAACTAACTCCTGGATTCACTGATTTTTTTCTTGAAGGGTTTTTCTTGTCTCTATCTCCTTCAGTTCTGCTCTGATCTTAGTTGTTTCTTGTCTTATGCTAGCTTTTGAATTTGTTTGCTCTTGCTTCTCTAGTTCTTTAAATTGAGTTGTTAGGGTGTTGATTTTAGATATTTCCGTTTTCTCCTGTGGGCATTTAGTGCTATAAATTTCCCTCTAAACACTGCTTTAGCTGTGTCCCAGAGATTCTGGTTCATTGTGTCTTTGTTCTTTTTGGTTTCAAAGAACTTTTATTTCTGCCTTAATTTTGTTATTTACCCAGTAGTCATTCAGAAGCAGGTTGTTCAGTTTCCATGTAGTTGTGCAGTTTTCAGTGAGTTTCTTAATTCTGAGTTCTAATTTGATTGCACTGTGGTCTGAGAGACTGTGTGTTATGATTTCTGTTCTTTTTCATTTGCTGAGGAATGTTTTACTTCCAATTATGTGGTCTGTTTCAGAATAAGTGCTATGTGATGCTCAGAAGAATATATGTTCTGTTGATTTGGGGTGGAGAGTTCTGTAGATGTCTATTAGGTCTGCTTGGTCCAGAGCTGAGTGTAAGTCCTGAATATCCTTGCTAATTTTCTGTCTCATTGATCTGTCCCAGTGTTGACAGTGGGATATTAAAACCTCCCACTATTATTGTGTGGGAGTCTAAGTCTCCTTGTAGGTCTCTAAGAACTTGCTTTATGAATATGGGTGCTCCTGTATTAGGTGCATGTATATTTAGGATTGTTAGCTGTTCTTGTTGCATCAATCCCTTTACCATTATATAGTACCCTTCCTTGTCTTTTTTGATCTTTATTTCTTTCAAATCTGTTTTATCGGAGACTAGGATTGCAACCCCTGCTTTTTTTTCCTTTCCATTTGCTTGGTAAATCTTCCTCCATCCCTTTATTTTGAGCCTATGTGCATTTTTGCACATGAGATGGGTCTCCTGAGTACAGCACACCG